CCGGGAGCCACGTGGTGGCTCCAGAGCCGTGTGGTGGCCCTGGAGCTGTGTGGTGGCCCTGGAGCCATGTGGTGGCCCTGGAGCTGTGTGGTGGCCCTGGACCCATGGAGCAGGCCAAACTGAAACCCAACGCTGGTTGCCAAACGTGCTCACCAAAGCCTCTCGCCCAACAGACTCCGAGTATTTCACCTCTTCACACCCTGGTTGAGTTAATGAGTATTTCTGCCTGGGCGTTAACGGCATGAGGAGCATCAGATCTGCTGTTGATCCAAACGAAGGAATCAAAACTAAACCGCCCCATGTAAGGTCTCACCAGCACTAACACTGGATGATCCTCCACGCTCAGCTCCAGGAGCTTTCTACCCCGCCTTTAGTGTTTTCTTTCCTTTCAGGAGAAAGCCTGGCGTCTTCCTAGCCACGGGCCAAAATTTCAGCAGTTGTTCCTAAAGCAGTTAAGGGCGCAGGGTGCCAAGGCCAGTGGTTGGATGGTGTCTGCTGGACAAGGTCCTCCTCTGCAGAACCTGTGACAATGAAGCTCGTTGGGCCCTGCAAGTCACAGAGCCGTTACGTTGGCCAGAGCTTGCGCCATCCTACGTGTTTCAACGCTGACAGACAGCTCCTAGTAACACAGAGTCAACAGTGAGAGCGAAGAGGGTATTTGAGGGGTCTTCAACTCCTGTGATCTACTGGGGTTTGGGGGTTTTTTGGCCCAGGTTTAACTGTAGCGTGCTACAAGCAGTGGAAGGACGATCTGGGATTGTTATTTCCAACTGTCCCGTTGCTCTTTCCGTGCTAACCCTTGGCTTCACCGAGCTGAACGGGGCAGCCCTCTGATTATCCACCCTCTTTTTTTTATTTTCTTTCTTCTCTTTTCCTTTTATACGAACCCAAAGTGCACCGCACAGCACCGCACGGGAGAAGCCCATCTCCCCCGCTCCGCAGCACTGGTGCTCAGTCTTCACCCACTTTGTTCCCCTTGAGGCTGGGAAGGTCAACCAGAGCTTTGCTTCCTTTAAAACCAGCAGAACCAACCAAACGACCCCCATACAGAAGTGCCGGTGCCAACACCCCACCTGACCAACCACCCAGGACCAACCAGCGGTAGAAAAAGTCCTCTTGGGTCCCCAAGCTTGTTTCTCCTCCTTTGGACCACGCTCGTGAGAACGAGCTCCAGTAGCTCCTCCCAGTAGCTTGGCACAAGCCAAGCTGGGAGACACCACCAAGAGCAAGGAGGTCTCACTCAGGTGCCAACAACTGGTCACTTTGTTCTTCTGAAAGACCCTCCGGTCTGACCTCTGCACCACCATGCCCTGGTCAGGGTGACCCCTCCAGTGCTGGTCTCCACTGGTCTCACCTCCCTCTGGAGGTGTGGTTCAGGCAGGCCCAAAGCAGAACAACCAACAGGGACATCTGGGCACCGACTCAACACCACGCACGGGTCGGAAACCCATGCCAGGCAGTGCTGGGCGGGATTCCCACCCACATCTCCTCAGCTGACCTCGTTAAAGGCTCTGGATTTGGTCCCTCGTGACAACCTCCGAGCCCAAGAGACAGGAGAGTCGCAAACACGCTGCCAGGCGCGTGTTAACTCTTTTGGCACGCTGGAGGGGAAAAAAAAATCAAAACACAACCGTGGGTTTGGCGTAGGAGAGAATAAAGATGAAAAAAACCCCTTGTTTCTACGCTGGGTTCAGCGATAAGGATTTCAAAATCAACTGGCCACGAGCATCGTCTGCAAATACAAACTCTCCCTCCGCTGCCCTCAAGACAACTTATTGCTCTACCCGGACACCCCACGGTGGGATGTCACCGCCCGCAGTTGGCTTCGCGTCCTTGTGCTCTTGGGTGAGCCAAACGCCCCAGGAATGACCCCGATGCCCACAGCCTCTGCGCGCCCGTTGTCCCCCAGCCCCGTCCACGCCGACTGGGGAATCGCCCTCCTCGCTCTCGCCTTTGCTCAGGTGCCTTCCCGTGAGGAAGGCGACGTGTTTATTGCTATTGCTTCCTCTTCCTCCCGCTTCTCCCCACTCGCCAAGCAGAGCAGCTGGACAACGGCCCCCTCTCCGGCCTTTCTCTGTGGTGCTGGGATTGGTGCTTGGATGAACATTCCTCCTGGAAGTCTCCAAGCTCGGCTGTGACCCAAAGAATGGGCAGGGGGGGCTCCTCAACTGCCACGGAGGTGTCGCAGTTTGGTCTCAGCCCTGCCAATGACATGGGTGCAAGGTGAAGCCGCCCATCTTCCCTCTTGCTCTGCCTCAAAGACTCTTCTCCAGCAATCGGCCACCCTCTTTCCCCACACCACCAGACTCTGGAGAAGCTCTTCAGACCAACCCTTGGACATGGAGAAGCTCTTCAGACCAACCCTTGGGCCTGGAGAAGCTCTTCAGACCAACCCCTGGACTGGAGAAGCTCTTCAGACCAAGCCTCAGACCTGGAGAAGCTCTTCAGACCAACCCTTGGGCTTAGAAAAGCTCTTTAGACCAACCCTCAGACCTGGAGAAGCTCTTCAGACCAACCTTTGGACATGGAGAAGCTCTTCAGACCAACCCCTGGACTGGAGAAGCTCTTTAGACCAACCCTCAGACCTGGAGAAGCTCTTCAGACCAAGCCCTGGACATGGAGAAGCTCTTCAGACCAACTCCTGGACTGGAGAAGCTCTTTAGACCAACCTTCGGACCTGGAGAAGCTCTTCAGACCAACCCTTGGACATGGAGAAGCTGTTTAGACCAACCCTTGGGCGTGGAGAAGCTCTTTAGACCAACCCTCGGACCTGGAGCTCTTCACACCAACCCTTGGACATGAAGAAGCTCTTCAGACCAACCCCTGGACTAGAGAAGCTCTTCAGACCAAGCCCTGGACCTGAAGAAGCTCTTCTTCATTCCTTGGACGTGGTGAAGCTCTTCAGACCAAGCCTTGGGCATCTTGCTGCCTTCAACAGCCGCCTGGCACACCTCTGCCTGCAAACAGTGGCCACGCAAGGAAGGAGCTGCCTTCTCCCTCACGCAGCCCCAGGACGTGGCTGATGGGGAGCATCTCGTCTTCCCAAGAGGTGCGAGACGCGACCAGGGCGCGCGTCTCTCCGCTGCTTTCTTCCCATCCCGCAAGATCCGTTTGCCCAGTTGGAAAAAGCAGACCAAAGACCCAATGGTGACCAGTCCTCCTACTTCCTAAGACAAGTGTGTTACGCCGCTAATTATATTTATATTCTCTTACTCCTACGAAAGAAGGGATGAGTTCAGAATTCCACTGCAGAGAATGCATTTATCATCTATCACGACAGCTATCTGGAAGACACCAATTTTCTTGTAATATGTTATGGAAGATTAAATAATTTATATTATTCAACTAAAAATACCCAAACCAAATCGGAATAAGCCTGCCTACCAGCGCTGTGCTTTTCACATAGTACCCTGAACATCAACCACTCTTACTAGCCAAAGAAAATCTAGGCTCTCGTCAACAACAACAACAACGGAAAAAGAACGAAAAGAACCCAAACGAACGAGAAGTGGGGGATCTTTGCACCACTCAGCTGGGCAATGCCGGAAAAGTGAATATTCTGAGCTTTCAAACGAGAGGACCAAAGAGAGAACTCGACTATTGCTCAGTGTCAGTATGTGTGTTACACCACTCAGGTGGGCTGGGGAGGAGGAAGGGGGAGAGGAGAAAAAAAAAAAAAAAAAAAAAAAAAAAAAAAGAGGCAGAAGATTAGAAAAAGCAGCTTTTACAAAAACCACTAAAGAATGCATAAAGTGACCCTTGCACTTTTTTTTTTTTTGTTGGTTTTGTTGTTTTTTTTTTTTTCTTTTGTTCTTGCAAACAGACGAGGTGCTGCAGCACGGCGGCCGCAGCCCCGATGTAAGACTTGTGTAGTTGCATACAATGTTGGACTCCGGATCTGGAAGAGAGCAAACACAGGAGGAAGAAGGAGTTAGGAGCCGGCGGCGCAGGATCAGGAGGGGCCGTTCCCCTCCTCTGCGCCGTGGGGCTGGTGCAGGCGGGACTGAGCCGCCCCTCGCGCCCCTCCGAGGGGCAATTTCTGGGGCACGGAGCTGAGCAAGCAGCAGCTCGCCGGGATTATCCGACGCACGGGATTAAAAATACGCAGAGGGGAAGCTCTCTGCTAATTACACAGCCATTAGTCACGGGCCCAGCGTAACGGAGGCAGCAAGGGGAGCTCTCAGACAGCCCCCGGGCTGGAGGAGATCTGAGCTGCCTCCCCCACGCAGCAGCGTCCTGTGCTCCCGTCGGCTGCGTGGCCCGTTCGTTGGGCACGATGGGCCGAGGGCTCCAGCCAACCCCGGAGGGTGTTTCGAGGAGCAGCTGGGATTTTGGGGAGGCTGAGCGTGACGTGAACCTGCCGCTGGTTGCAGGCAGCGGCACGCAACCCCGGTGCTAATGAACCGGACCATCTCCCAGCAGGCTCTGGCAGGGGAAGGAAACATATTCAAGTGGTACGAAAGGTGGGGAGGGACTCTCGATCAGGCAGGGTAGCGATAGGACGAGGGGTAACTGTTTCAAACCGAAAGAGGGGAGATTGAGATGAGATACTGGGAGGAAATTCTTCCCTGAGAGTGGTGAGGCACTGGCACGGGTTGCCCAGAGCAGCCGTGGCTGGCCCCTCCCTGGCCGGGCTCAAGGCCAGGCTGGATGGGGCTGGGGGCAACCCGGTGGTCCCTGCCTGTGGCAGGGGGTTGGACAAGATGGTCTGCAAGATCCCTTCTCACCCAAACCCTTCTGTGATGCTATGAAAGAGCGTGATGCATCCAAAACCTTCAAGCACGAAAATTTCCACCCTCAGCAGTGCCCGAGGGCGCTCGGAGCAGCTTGATGCCACCGAGGTCACCGGCAGAGCCCTGCCCGCACCGAGCAGCAAGAAGCAAGGTCAAGGTGCGCCGTGCTTTGCTAACCCACTCTGCAGCCCCATGTGCAGCCCTCGCTGCCGGGGAGCAGCGCTAAGTGGCTCTTCTGGAGTCAAAGCATCGCCCAGACACAGGGATTCAGGAGCTTTTCAGGAAGGAGAGAAGCAACGAGTGTCCTCGGTCGCTAATTAATTGGCAAGGGCAGAGCAAGACCTGCAAAGGCAGCACTTACTTACATGAATTGGCCAGTGGGTTTACCAGTGTGGAGGTACGTAGCTGTAGGTGGGGGTTCCTTGAGCCCTGTACGTTGGCACGGACACTGGATGTGCTCCGATGGCGGTGTGTTGTGGGGTGGTCAACAAGGTTCCTGCAACAGCACGGAGAAACACTTAGGAAGGAGGAGAGCTCCACCGGGGGGGGCGGTACCCCGAGGGTACGGTGCTGCAGGCTGCACCCAAGGGGCAGGCACAGCATCAGCTGCCTTTTTACTCTTCTTCAGTGCTCCCAAATAGAACTTCATCCGTGAGACCTGAATCGAAGGCGTTTGACCCACGCGGCTGGTATCAGCCAGGGCCATGAATGGAATAAACCCACTTGAAGCTCCAGCATATTTTCCAGGCTACTTTCGGCCCTTAACTCATCTTTTTCCAATTTTCCTTCTTCCTACAGACCAGCAGCAGAGGTAGCCGCTAACCTGCCGACATCTTCCACCTGCCGAAGGCACCGGGCTAAACCGCAACGGCCGATCACTGCAGCAATATCTGAAACACCTGAAGCCCAAACTGGAAGGGATGAGGGTTGCAAAGGGAGATGAGGAAACACCCAGGCCTTCCAGGGAAAACGAAGATGAGCTTTGCCACCCATCTCCCGAGGGCTTCACTTGAAGCCACAGAGCCAAAAGCCGCGGGATGCGGCAGAAAGGAGCGCTCCTCTCCCAGCCGGGAAGCGGAGGGACTCGCCCGGTGCAGCCTCTTTTCTTCCAGCCTGCATCTGCCACGCAGAGGGATTTTAGGTGAGAATTTGCACGGTGCCTTCAGCAGACACGGGGAGGGAGAATACAGCCCCCAACTGCTCTGTTCTGGGAGTAACTGGGTGCTCGAAACAACCTCTCCGTTTCTGGGTATCTCTGGACAAATGCTACTAATGAAATTTTAAGGCGTCCCGCGTGCATTAATTACAGCTATCCACTTCTCAGTATAAGCAACAGCAAATCTCCCAGAGTGGTTCTTGTCACAGCCAGGCTGCAGTATCTCTGCCTGCACCAGGGACTGCGTCCCGTAGCAGAGTTCTGTGTCACAGCTAACGCAGAGGCAAAAGGATGAATGATGCGTTTCTTGGCGTAATTCAACAGACGAGCCTAAGAAGTGTTAATGAGAGAAACGCAGGCTTTGGAAAAAATAAAACCAGCCTGTATCCTTACTTAATGTGCTAGCAATTCACTGCAGTTTGAAGCAATCCTGCACATAAAATGCAGAGGATTTGGCATACGTAAATGGTCATTTTTTTCACACAAACGCAAGATCCTAAGTCTCCTAAAAAAGGAACCTGAGGATAGAAATACAACAGTATTTGAAGACAGACAAACCTGGTTGTTCCTTTACTTATGGAGCAGACAGAGGAGCCAGTAATTTATTTAAGGATGCAAGAGTGCCTCCCTCTAGGGTAAGCCAAATGAAAGGTCTCCTCTGCTAAACCTAAAAAACTGAGTCAGATCAGTATCAGGAGCAAATTCACTGGTTTTTGCCCGCAAAGGAGCGGTAACCAGCAAGCAAAACCAGCAGCCGAAGCTGCGATCAGCTGCGTGCAAGGTGCTTCTGCAGCCACTCGCCAGCAACACCCTGCAAGGCCGCGGGCAGCACGTCGGATACACGGAGAGTTTTTCATCCAGGACGGGTTGTTCGGAGACGTCCCACCCGAGAGATGAAACTACGGCCCGGAACCCGCCAAGATTTTCCTTCTTACCTGCTGACATGGCCATGGTGGTCCCAGCGACCATGCCCATGGCCACACCGTTGGTCCTGGGCGCAGCGACCGGGGCCGGGTAGATGGCCGATGGGATGCTGTTGGGCTGAACCACGGTGGTGTGATGGATAACGTGAGGCTGTGCCGCATACACGGGCTGGGTGTAATAAGCTCCCTGTTGGAGAAGGGGAAAAAAAATACCACCATTGTCTTCGTCATTCGCTTGAAAGCCAAAGCCAAAGCGGCGCCTCGAAGGCCAGTGTTTCACTCCGAGGCCACCACCAGCTCCGTGGGCGGTGGGTGTCAGCCTGGAAACACCGACCGGGCTGCCAGCTGGAGTAAGCAGCGATGCTCTCAGGCAGCCCCACCCCTACCCCCTGCGGCAGATGGGGCACAGGAGGTTCCCAAACCCAGCCCATATTGCAAGCCCGCAGCAGCTCTGCTGTGACAGGACCTTCACTTCAAGACTTCAAGGCCTCAGCTCCTCCAGAGGTGTGGCAGAAGCAATATTAAGACAAGCAGGCGTCACACAGAGCTGCTGGTACCAAGGGGCTGGTCCTTCCCATGAGCAAGCGCCTGCGTCTGCAGATCTGGACAAGCGAGGAGGATGCTGAACCTGTGGACATGTGGGACGGTCCCTGGGATGGATGAAGGCAACGGGACTGGGACGGAGATGAGCATCACTGGTCCGAGACTCAGCTAGTCAGGGACAAACTGTGCTGCCTCCGTGTGGTGGGATGAAATGGGGCCTGGTCCCAAAAGACTTTAGCTGCTGGTGTAGAAAAGGAACAAGAGATGGAAGACAAGGAGACGCCGTGGCTCTCGGCAGGTCCCAAGGTGCTTGCTTGGGTCCAGGAAACGTGTCGTCTTCTTGGGTTTCCCACGGGAGACAAAAGGGTTCTGAAATCCAGGCTGCTGAGACCCCCGGTGTTTGGAAACAAGGGGTAAGGAAGGGTGGGAATAAAAGAAAGGAGCCAACAGGAAAAGATCCACCACCAAAATAATGAAGGGCCTGAAACGTGAGAGGCGCAAAGGAAAGAACTGCCACCCTGGGGACAGACAGGGACACTGCTGGTACCTGCAAACCAGGGTCAGGCTGAAAGATTTGAGGATTTAAAACAACAAAGGGAGATTTTATGGTGCATTAGTGAAAGCCACTAGAGGTATGGATTAAGGGGAGAAGGTATGGATTGGGGGAGAAGGTATGCATTAGGGGGAGAAGGTATGGATCAAGGGGAGAAGGTATGGATTAAGGGGTGAAGGAGAAGAACTATTAAATTACTTCTTTTTTTTCAGGAGCTACATAGGTGGATCGGACAAACTGCAGATGCTGAAAGGCATTTCCTTGAGGAACGAGAAGGACATGCTAAGATAAATTAGGCCCATGAAGAAAAGGTGACTGAGAAATCAGCTGCAAGAGAAGGAACCAGGCAGCAGCGATGGGTTTGGTCCCCAGCGGTTTACGCAACACTCAGTTAACAGAAGGAGAGGTGATGGCGGACAAAATCGTCAAGAGGAGATGCTTCGGTCTCAGCAAGGCACGGAGAAATCACTCCATGAGGTTGTAGCTGCTGGAGAAGTTGGTTATTTGCCATTAAAGAGGCGGGGGAAAGCTAGGGAAGCCGTAGGGACGGACTGCTCGAGGAGTTTATGATCTTCAGTGGCATCAAGGGGCATTCAGGGGCATCAAGGGGCATTCAGGGGCGTCAAGGTGACTTTTGGAGGACACTTGCCCTAAACTGCATCTCTGTGGAGGATCTCGGACCCAGCACATAGCTGGAGGCAGTGGCAATGCAGGAGCAGAGAAGATGGTACTGGAAACCCATCCAGGTGCTCAGGGAGAAGCTCCTCCGTGAGGACATGAATCTGGGTCCTGTCTGAAGTAGCTTGGGCTGGTGAAGGTGACACAGGGGCTTCTCCACGGGAGGTGGCAGGAGGGCGATGCAAGTCGAGTGAGATGCTAAAAGCCACCAGCAAGCGGACGTTGTGGTGACCCAGACTCATCTGTGGCCCTGGGGAAGAGCAGTGTTGAGAGCTGGGAAGAGGTGGGTGCAGGGACCATCCTGGACCCAGCAAGCCCTGGCAGTCAGGCGTGTGATTTTTGGGGAAGGGACCTGACTCCCAACCTGGCCGAGCCACAGGGAAACCACTGTGTTGACTCTGCTGCACACCGACAAACACGCAAGACCACGTTTCGTCCAAAGAATCCAACCGAGGAGGCAGGAGAGAGACCCCAGCATCCCGGCGAGCCACCAAGCCCCCCCACGAGCACCTCCATCCCACCAGGACATGGGTGCTCAGCCCTGACAGCCAAGGACGAAGCCCTGCAGGAACCTCGGGCACGCCGTCAAGCGTGAGGCACCTACCTGGGTGTACAGGTTCTGCTGCGGATAGGCACTTCTGATGGGGTACATAGCGGTTTGGTATGGGTTTGGAGACGGCGAGTAGGGAGGAGGTGCGTTGTTACTCTGGGTCGGTGGGACCTTGTAGGGAGTCCCCGCAGTGTACCCTGGCAAAGACAAGAGCAGCCCAAGTTAGGGTGAGGATCTACAGCTGCAGAACCAGTCCGCCCGGCACAGGAGCAACCAGTTCACGATGCACAACCAGTTCATGATGCACCGGCTGCTCACTGGGCATCACTCAGCACGGAGGAGATGCACCAGCATCTGTTGATGTCCCGTGAAACCCACCAAGCCAAGACCTCCAAGTCCAACAGGCAGCCCCTGGCTAATCCATCACAGCAGCCGGGGCTGCATCCTCCACCCAGCCCAGCGGCGGCTCTTCCCACCAGGCCGTAGAGCTGATGAGTATTCCCAGTGGTCAAGGCATGGCTTGACGGGACTCAGTCACCACTTAAATCACCTAAGACAGCAGTGTCCTCACACCTGCTTACCCCTCTCTATACTTATCTTTATATATAGATATATAGATATATCCTATCTCTATACTTATCTTTATATATATATATATATAGCCTATCTCTAACCTATATATATATCTATCTGCTTGATAAGAATAATGTTTTTCCTTCTCTCCTCCCCAGATTTTCGTCCTTTCACCATTTTCGCCTGCGGTGCGACAGGCAAACCCCAAATTTAGTCGCTGGAGGACCTCATTTCACGGCACAGGGTCGCTGTCCCCTGCCTGTGTCCCCAAGCAATGAGCGGAAAAGCAGCAACATCAACGGTCCAGATCTTAATATGAAGGTGCAACTGATGGATGCCTTGAAGTATTTCGTCAAGGTGGACGGTGCCAAGCAGTTCCCTCTCCTCAAAAGGAGGGCTGTGACCATCCTCTCACCTTGCAGGGGGGAGAGGCAACCCCAGGCGATGCTCAAGCACCCTTATACCTCTCCCACCCCACCCCCAGGCTATTTGCATGAGCGACAAAAGCAGCAAATCTGCTTTATTGCCATTAAGCAAAGCCACTTGCTCCAGCAGGCTGCTGGCAAGCGGGGAGGAGCAGCGGGGGCTTGGGAGGGCAGCGGTGGGGCAGGCGGGGAAACGTCCCTTGCAATATTTGTGATCCTGATACGGCAGATTGGAATTTTTCTCTTTCTTCTGTTCAGATTTAAAGAAAAGAAAAAGGACTTCAGCTCCCCCTGGTCTTCCCCATCAACCCACCAGGCTGTTTAGCTGGAGCAGCCAAGGCCCACCTTCACGCTTTATCGAAGGGCTAAAGAAACCTCAACTCACCTCGCAGCCTTTAGGAGATGCTGAGTATACAGGGGACAAACTAAAATGAAGGATCCTTTCCAAAACGTGGGAACTTGTCCCAAAAAGCAAACCTGACAAAAAATAACCTAAGGGGTAACGTGATTTATCAGGTGACCTGCTGGCTGGGGGGGTCGCTTTGGGGTTTTGCTGCTATTTGCGTGAAGTTCTGAGCTGTCTGGAGCTTATAAATTTCTATTTTCCTTCCAGGAAGACCCAGCGGTACCAGCTCAAGATCCTCTAATGCAAGTCTGATCATATTTGTTTGGATTTTTTAAAGGCTTTCCCTGGAGTGCGGGCATCCCATAAGGATCTCCACTTCCTTCTGCTTCCTTTCAAGGTACCTTCCTGTCTGCTGACTGGTGATAAATACGGGGTCCATACCCTCCACCAGTTTTCCTCTCCAAAAAGAAAGGGGTGGCTTTAAGCAGGTCCACGATAACACCGTTACCTGGCAGCTAAGTACCACAAGACCTCGTAGCCAGTACCACCTAAAGGAGGTGCGACCTGTCCCAAGGATGGGGTGTCCCTGCACCAAGGATATCCAGCACCGGAATTCCCAACCTTTAGAGGCATTTCCAAACAAGGCTCCATGAAGTTGCCCCTGAAACATTACTACCAAAGTGCTAAATTGGGGGAAAATCCTCAAGAATACTCAAAGTTGTGCTTTAAGGGTGGTTGGTTGGGGGTTTTTTTAGGGTAGACTAAAAGCTGAGCTGCTGCCATGGGGCGCCCGGACTGCATCAAGTGTGCCATGAAGGCATCGTGGTGTTGGTCACAGCATGATGAATGGTTAAAAAAAGAATGGAAATGGTAAAAAATCTGCTCGCATGAGCAAGGAAAAACACGTGGGCTGGGATGGCTGGTGAGAAATGGCAGCCAGCTCTTGGAGGAGGGCTGGGGGAAACCATCTCCTTAGAGAAAACGGTCCCCGAAGACTGTGTAGGATGGAGAGGAGAAGTCAGGGCTCAGCTCAGCGATAAGACATCGAAACACTCAAATATAATGAACTAATTTACTCAACCAGTGTTCAGGGCAGCAATTAAGGAAGGCTAAGATTCCAAGTCTGCTAATATCCCATATTATCTGCCCAGCACTGAAACAGCGTGAAGATAACGAGGAGCTTTCTAGGAACTCCCAAACAGCATCTCACCGCCTCCTGATTACTGCAGATCGGAAAAAACGTGTTAATTAAACAGCGGAATAGCTGTGACCCTTTTTCTGACTCACATTAGCAGGAGAGCAGCTATCTTTAAAGGAGAGACGGAAGCAGAGAGAGGAAACGCAAGTTCGAAACGAACAGCAGCACAAGTGGAGACTCCTCCATCATGAGGTCCTCCAGGAACCCAACAACATCACCTACCGACCAACCAACCTCCTGGTTTTCAATATCTGATGTATTTTTCTTCTATTCTGAACTCACTTTTTTCAAACCAAGACCGTGGAGGCAGCCAGGTCTCGGCATCACGCTTCATTTCGGATGGGCGCCTGGAGACGCGGACCGGCTGGGTGGTTTCACCACCTCGAATGCTAACCCTTGCCACGGTTTCCTGATAGCTGAATCACAGACAATTTAGCTACGGTATTAAAAAAGGTATTAAACATAATAGCCCAGGCAGATGTAATCTTCCATGTTTATAAATTGGGAAAAAAAAAGAACAATTTGCAGGTAAAAACGGCACGTAATCAAGTTTTAAAGCCGCAAGATGACGGAGGTTCCTCTCGGAAAAGCATGTCTGACAGCTAATTTTAAAGCCTCATTATGACTATCTCACACCTTATTAGGATTAGGAGGTTGGCATGGCCCGTGCTTCTGCCGCTTTGTGGTTCAGC